CTTGTTATCTGTTAATAATGTTTCTTGATAGATCCCATCAGAGTTCTTGATTTAAAGATTGGATTTTTATGGAGTGTTTGAGCTATATTTGGTTCTGTAGGCAAAAGGGTCTGAGGTGGTGTCTATTAAATATTGGATTTTTATGGAATATTGAGATATATTTTGCTTCTGTAGGCAAAAGGGTCTGATATTGTGCCAATAAAGATTGGATTATTATTGTATATTGAGCTAGATTTTGCTTCTGTAGGCAAAAGGGTCTGAGATGGTGTGTATAAAGATTGATTTTTTATGTAATGTTGAGCTATATTTTGCTTCTGTAGGCAAAAGGGTCCGAGATGGTGTGTGTAAAGATTGAATTTTTATGTAATGTTGAGCTATATTTTGCTTCTGTAGGCAAAAGGGTCTGAGATAGTGTCTGTAAAGATTGAAATTTTATGGAATATTGAGCTATATTTTGCTTCTGTAGGCAAAAGGGTCTGAGATTGTGCCTATAAAGATTGAATTTTTATGGTTTATTGAGATGCAGTTTGCTTGTGTAGGCAAAAGGGTCTGAGATGGTGCCTCTAATTGAGCCAGGGAAGGCAGAGAAAATGATGATTATGCTGAATAACACAAGGAGGAAGCTTGGGAGTTTTCAGATTTGTGCACTTTGCACTTGCTGTGGTGGGGCTAAAGCAGTATGCTTGCCTACTCCTTGTTGCTATGCTATCAATTGCAACATACCAAACAGGCCTTTTGGTTACTGTTCTTTCACTCCCAAAACTTGTAATTGTTTTGGATGCCATTACTAAATCCACAAGAAATCAAAAAGTACCTCTCTTTCTTTAAAAGAAAAGAAGTAAAGGGAAGGAAAAAGTCAAATTAGATCTTTTTTTGATCTTTGATTTGTGTTTCTGTAAGTCTGAAAGGGGAGAGGAATATCTGTTCTTAGATTTGATTTGTTTATAATTGTTTGAAGGACAGCTATTTCCAGGTAATCTTTTGCTACTTCATGATGGGATTTGTGCCCTTAGCAGTAGTGTTAAGTTTTTACTCTTTCAGTAATGAAGAAAATGTGATTCTTTTTCTAAGTTGCAAAAAACTTGGATGAAGTACTAGTTTCAGATTGAAGTATAATACATATATCCATTGTGTTTCTCTCTCTCTTAATGAAGTTGTTTATTGAGTAAACTTGTTAGTATATTTTATTGATGTTGATAGTTTCTGTCATTATAAAATATTGTTTGCTTACTGAGGTATGTCTACTGAGGTATTCATTACTGTCACTATAGTTATGTTTATTGTCTCCATGTTTTGGCCATTAATTAATTGCTTACTGTTGTGCCATTAAGGTTATTTAGCAATAGAATTTCAATGTATGGATAATTTATTATAATACATCAACAAAACACTCAAACTTTGCCTTAACTGACAAGTAAAAGCACTCCAACTTTGAGAGTACACATCTAGACATCTCAGCTTGGTATCAACTGACAACTAAACACTCCAACTCGTCCCCATTGTGTCTCGTCGCGACACATAAATCTTGGAGGTGTTATCATTTTGTAAGTTGGAGTGTTCAATTGGCACAGTGCATACGAGTTGAGTTGTCTAGATGTGTATACTCAAAGTTAGAGTTTGAGGTCAAGTTTGAGTGTCTGTTTAGTGTAAATACTGAACCTAAGGTTGAATTTCCTTTTGTTGTCATTACAGCTAGTCAATGAGAAAATGGTGTGCTGAGTTTATTATAGAGTAGGACAATTTTTGTTTATTATTGATGTTGAAAGTATCTTCATGTGATATTGGTTCACTCTTAGACAAATGATGCAGCCCCCACAAGTCCCTATTATGTATAAGTGAAAGTTTGGGAGAGAGCTTTCACTTATCCTAAGCAATAAAGATATTAGATGGGCTTTTATTGCTTGTAGAGAAGGGAATGAATGAGGTTGTTGTCAATGTAAACAAACTTAAAACTTATGGTGGGTGGAAGTTGGGGTAGGGTAGTTAAACTCAGCTACCATAATAATGCACTGTTGTAGTGTTGTTCAATTGTACAGTAGTATAATCTATGCCCATTGCATTTATAAGTTATAGTTTACTTTAGGTCCTACATTTTCTAGGAGTCTTTTAGTCTTATCGTAGATTATAGGCCGGTAGAAAATATAGAGAACTTCTAGTAATTGTCGTTTTTATTTTGATTATACTATTAGATTAGGATGAGTTTAATGAGCGACATGATTAGTGAGGATTCATGTAGCCGATATTAACTTGCTTTGGATCGAAGAAAAGAAAGTAGTAGTAGATATATTATAGGACTAACACATAATGGTTGGTAGATGAGCATATGGTGGCATGGGCACATGGTAATCCCCCTCCCCCCCTTGTTTTTTTTAAAGAATAATGGTGTGGTGTTCGAGTCTATTTGTGTGCATCTTGATTGTCCTTCAGGATATCTGTTTCCTCCATTATGTTGTTCGGACTCTTCAAAAATGTTGCTACATTTGTGTACTACTTTTGGAGGATTCGACACGCGCTTTCGAGTGCCAAGAAGTAATCTTGCAATTTTATTTTGTTTCATCTAAGAATTGAACCTTGGTCTCATGTGTTTTTTAGTTTGGTTATCTTTGAATCTTTATGACTCCTAAACTTATGCAGCTTGTGAGTATCGAATGACCAATCAGAGTTGTGGTGGAATAGACGTGATCCCTCAATTTTTAATAAGAGGTCTCGAGTTTGAGCTTTTATTATGGAAAAATCATGTTAGGGAGTACTTTCTCCTTAAATGAGCCGTACATTGGCTGAATCTGGATTAATCGGGGCCTAATACGGGCATCAAACACCAAATGAGAAATTAAAAATGAAATAAATTGAGAATGTGAATGAGTGGGGGACTGGTGATGGCCATCCAATTCTGAATCTGCTGTTTTAAAACACTTTGACTCTATAGATGAGTGTGTAGGGAATCTAATTGACCTTGAGTTTAAAACAATTATTTTTTAGCAACCCATGTGACATGTCCTCCTTGGGACATTTAAGAAGATTTGCATCCCTCCCTTTGCATAATTGAATTGTATATTATTTTTTCTTTTAGTCATCGTTCAAATTTTGAGAATTGAGAAGTTTTTGATAGAAAGTATTTCTCTTTTTAAAAAATCCTATGCAACACGAATTCAAATTAGTCGTCATAAACCCCACAATTTACCCCGCACCTTTTGCTTAGGTCCACACCCTCTGGGATTATCATCCTAACCTCGACTTGACTTGGAACTCCAACCTTGACCCCGACCAAAGACCCAACCACCACCCTAACTCGAGATCCGATCTAACCCTAACCTAAGATCGACCTCCACCCTGACTTGACTAGAGAAGCAACTCGAGACTAGACCTCGACCTGTTACGCGACTTGTGACCCGACCTCTATCTAGAACTTGACCCCAACCTCAACTCAAGATCCAATCCCTACTACAATATGGGACTTGATCGTGACCCTTGCACATAACTCGAGCCCTTTTTTGGGGTCATGTCTAGGGTTGAATCTTGGCTTGGGTCTTGGCTCGAGGTCAAGTCTCTAGTAGGGATTGGATCTTGGATCGGTCGCAACTCTCGGGTCAAGTTTTATATTGATGTTGGTCTTGAGTTAGGGTCAAGTCCTGGGTTAGGGTCAGGTCAGAATTGGGTCTTGGGTCAGGTCAGAGATCCAAGTATGTTGTAAAGAGTGGGGGTCCAAGTCCAAAATTATAATATTTGCCTAGATTATACCAAATGCTTCTAGGATAATATATTTTTCTTATTCATTAAACATAAAAAAACATAAATAAGAAAATCAGTTATTCTCCAAAATATTTTCTAAGAAAACAGTTTTCTCCGTATCAACCACAATCTAAAAGTAACTTATATGTTATTTTTTTTTTTTGTTGGGGGATAAGAATTTGAAGAGATTTTTAAATGTCATTAGTCATTACATTGGAATGACATTAATCGAATATTTCCTAAAAACTTAATAGGTTGGACAAAAATGTACATTGCTAAAATACTACTCTATGAGTCTAGGATTAAAAAGAAAATATATTTCCAAATTATAGGAAACAAGTGGCAAAAGGATAAAATAAAAGAGGACCATATGTGTGTATTGTATATATATTAAATAGAAAATGAAGTCAAAGTAGCATGTGCTTCTCTGTTTGAAATGTTGGTACTCTCTCATCATTTATAAGGGGCTAACAACATTATTGATTCCTAAATTATTAATAAATTTTAATTTTAGCAAATTTAATTTTAATTATTTAAATATACATTTTTAATTACTTTGCTAGTGAATATTCACAAATTTACCATACTTGTAAATTGTTCCATCACTTAATTTTTCACTTTTCATGTGTTATGTTAGGTTTGTACTATTAGTCGATATTTGACAATAATATAGTTCTACATATAACATATTTCCTTCGTAAAGAGACCAGAAGCACACATTTAGTTAATTTGAAGATTATGTGTTGGAGTCATAAATATCACGAGGATCAAAATTAGAATTTACCATCAATTAAAGGACTAAAAGTGCTATTATCCCTTTATAAATTTGCAACTTTAGAGTTCTATTAGGGACAAGGGCAATACAAAGTAACGATAACATATGAATGACCTCAAAGTACAACGAACGTTAAAATTGAGATACCTCGTATAATAGAGGGATACATTTGTCCCTTTTCGCTATATAATATTTCTACGATAACCATATAACTTATAAAAATAAAAATAAAAATAAAAAAACTTGCTAGATATTGTGAAAAAGGTAAAAACTTAACCCAAAATATTACATATATTGCTCAAATAATGTGTGACTTCCATAACTTACCTATATATACACACATATTACACAATTTGTATAACTAAAAACTTCCATGTTTTTGAGTATTAGCATATTTATCTATCAATATTTGTAACTTTATAGAAACTGTACATTTTTTCTGCTGTTCTAAAATTATAATTCATCCACTTTACATTTCTTATGCATCATATCTACTTCTTTAAACTGTGACACTCACAGATTTGATGTCCTTCCTTCTGTTAACGCGAAAATTAGCAGCTAATGTGCAAACTTTGCCTATCTCCATTTCTTGAATCTGCAGCATCTCGCGTTCATTTCATCCTTTTCAAGAACCTGTGGAAAATGAGCCGGTTGGATCAAAACAAGGTTGAAATCGATGAAAAAATGAATTGATTTTGTCACCTCTACGAGTACCTGATGTACTGAAAGTCCATGTAGAGCAATGCTTTACTTTTCTGACTCTGGATAGAGATCCGTCCAACATGTGTCCTCGTTGACAGCTTGTTTCCATCGTCTTTTGAATATCTTATACTCGTTGTATGATTGTCTTCTCACCTGAAGAAACTCACACATAGCTAGAGTCAAAAAATGGCTTCGCGTTTTTGAATGAATATAAGAAGTGTGAAGTGTATGCTACTATATATAGTCGACCTCAACTAGCTTGAAATTGAGGCCAACTAAAAGTTGAACACAAAGTCAGGTAGATGTTTACCTCCACTCTGAAATTGGGAGTGTTGGGTTGAGATGGTGCCTGCATTGATGAAAAGACGCGTCAAAACTCATATGTAAACACATCTAACATGGTGGACACGATAAGAGGTTGTGAAGGAAGGTTAGTAGGTAGTAGAGTGTTGTCTCGCTTATTTTACCATATTAGTTGTTAGTATTATTCATGTAGCTTCCTGTACTTCAATTTTCATATTATTTTGGTGACTTCTTCACTTCCACTATTTCTTTTTTCGACCAGCTTTGAAATGATTTTCCTTGAGCCGAGGGTCAATCAGAAACAACATCTCTACCTCCCAAGGTAGGAGTAAGGTTTGCGTACACTCTACCCTCCTCCCAGACCCCACTCGTGGGATTGCACTAGGTAAGCTATTGACTCTTTTTCAATATAAACATCATCGATCACTGTATAAAGTTATCTAACACATACTTGTTTTCCAAGGCTTGTGATGTTTTCTCCACCCACTGTCAAATTCTTCTGCATGATTGACATCAACAAGAAAATTAATTGTTTGACAAATAAGAAACGATGATTTAAAACTCGTAATATAACTCAAAAGAATGTTGTAAGTGTAGAGCACAAGCATAACAGGTTACACATTAGAGAGGAAACTTTACTGCTGTCTATTGCTTAACTTTTCTCTCTATGGGTGAAATGAACTCAAAACAGTCGAGTTAATGGAGCGAATGTGTATGTACCAGACTGTCGATCAGGTATGAACATTAACCAAACGCGACTGATTCATTATATAGCTGTATATACATTTTTTCATGTGTCTGTTGCAGATTTCAAAGTTCATTCTAAGCATTCTTATGTGCTTGTTTTCGTCGTGTGGTAGTTACCTTCTTTTCAGGCTCCCCTAGTGTCGGAAGGCCATAATGAACGATGTATTCAGCATCAACAACTCCAATATTTTGAGTTCTGTCTCCCTATCACAAAAATGAACCAACAACTCATGACTGTAACTCAAACGAGCTATCGATACAACAGACGAAAAAAATGCCCTGTCTCAAATCTAAGAACTACCTGTGCACAGTAACCAAGCTGGATGTCTAAACCCCAAGCATGGATCAAGTCATTCTGCAAAACAACGATAGAAGGAATAAGAGGTAAATATCAATTACTCCTTCTGTTTCAATTCGTTTGTCTGGTTTTGACTTTGCACGGAGTTTAGGAAAGTAAAGAAGACTTTTGAATCTTGTGGTTTTAAACTAAAGAAAGGAAAGAGTAACTTTATTTCAACGACCAAATTTTAACAGTTAAATATATGTAATGCAGATATAGCATGACATATATAGTTGTTACTGACAATATAGTGTTTCTAAAAAGGAAAAACCTGGATCATATACCAGACGCAGCGCCAGGCAGCGTTGGAAAACACAGGAGCCATTACTTCTATCCACCTACAACATCAGAGACTCCTTATGAGTTACGCGAAATAATTGAGTTTCTATCATTTCCAGAGAGTAAAAGAGGTTACTACTGTAACAATTCGTAGTTATTTCCCATGAAGATATCCGTGACAAGGCATAAAACAAAATTAAGTTACCCTGTACAAGGAGGAGCCATACTGGTATAGTCACATCGAGTGCCAGTATCGCCAGCCTTATAAGTCCTTCTGCAATGTAATGTGTTAATCAAGTTTCAGCTTCAAAATCTATGGCCAAACATGAGCTTAAGACGGAAAATTGTTGACAAGAACCTGTGCACTCTTGATCTCCTCCCGCGGGCAGTAATCTGATGATGCACCTCTGATTTCCCCATATCTAGAGCTGGTTGTGAAATCTCAAGACCTTCATCTCTCACAATAGATATGTATCTACAAGGATGATGTAAGTTGGGTTCAGTAAATGTAGTACGTCGATTAGAATGCTTCGTATCTATTTTTAGTTCCGTCTTTTAATTTCTTGTATATGAGCTCCTCTCCTTACAGTCAAGTGGCTTCAACTCTTTAACATAAAAAGCCTGAACTACAGTGTAACTTTCGTCTCTGATAGGTGTCTTTTTCAAGACCAAAAGACGGGAGATCCTTGGGAGTGGATCATAGTTCAGATGGTACTCCTCGAGTACTCCCTCTATTTCAATTTGTTTGTCTGATTATGACTTGACACGGAGTTCAAGAAAATAAATGAGACTTTTGAATCTTGTGATCTTAAACATGTCATGTGGAAAGTTAGAACTAAAGAGTTGTCAAAAAGGGAAAAAAGAGACGTTCTTTTTGAAACAGACTAAAAAGGAAAGTATACCAACTTTCACATACCGTTTTGGGTTGAAATTTTCAACTCCGAGGTCTTCATCCCAGAGGAAGATATAACTGTACTCAGCAACTATATCTGGATGTAAAAATCTCTTTGCAAACCACCTGTTATTTTTCATAACATTGCGAAAAATGTCAAGAGAGTTTTGATCCAAGCACAAGACGTTTCTAGACTAAAGCAACTCCGTTTTTGAGATGCAAATAGAAACTGTACCATTTTGTTTGATTCAAAGCTGAGATGTGTATTACACTGTTACTCCATTTAAAAGTCCTCCATCCATCGACATTACCATCGTAGTGAAAAAGCATCACCACGAAATCACTTGATAGAAACTACGAACCAATTCAATAAACGAAACTTATGGTAACTCTGTATGTCATAAAAATAAGCAAGGTAACAGAACACACACACCTTTAGTACCATCTTGTTTACTGTTTCTTTTTGCTTTATCCCAACAGCTGCAGCAAATAAGTACTTTGAAGGCACTTTTTTCTGTTAAAAAAACAAAACATGTTAGTGGCATACACCTTCCGTTTCAATTTGCTTGTCTTACTTTTCTTTTTCAACAGGTAAGTTCAAGTCTGCATTTAGAACTTATGAGGAACGCGGAGAAGATGGATATGAAAATAACCTCTGGATAACCCCATAATGGACGTCTTTCAAAGTTAGACGTCTTGGCGATGATACCTTCAGGTAATGTCTCACTTCCATTAGGCCTGCATTGATTCTAAAATGGATGACACAAATTATTTACGCGAAGAATATAATCAAGGTACTCAGAAACCAATGAATAAATGAAGAACAAACCTCACATGATCTTCCTCCTTTCCACCGCGAACTTCTCTGCATAATAGAGTTCTTATGATTATCATCCATTCACATTGTGCATCACTTGAGCAACAATTTACACACAACTCAAAAATACACCAACTTTCCTTTTTAGTCTGTTTCAAAAACATGTTTTTTTCCGTTTCTAACAACTCTTCAATTTCAACTTGTTTAAAACCACAAGACATATCCAAAACCAGACAAACAAGTTGAAACCGAGGGAGTACTATCTTGTTCGTTATTTCAACTTCATCTTGAAACAGAGAATTTGAAGATGAGAATCTTAGTTTTTACTCGCAAAACTTCAACCTTTTCAAAGCGATTCATGTCCAAACACAAACGAAACAAGTACTCCTTTTCAATTTCAACTTCAAAAACTCATTTTTTTTCAACTTCAACCAAATATGTATGTTCAAACGGGGAACGTCAAGCAGGGGATGTTCCATAAACTACAGAAGAGGTCAAGAGAATACGACATGTACCTGATTATCATTTTCTGTAAAGTCACTTCCTAACAAGAGAATCAGACACAAAAACGAAGCTGTAGGAAAGATCGCGTAGAAACATGACCTTCTGATTTTCGGATCTTTGAGTAGTGACACCTAAAAATACCAAAGAAAGAGTCTCATTTAGCACATTGAACTGAACATTGCAAACAAACAACAAGCTATGTTGCATTACTATAAGCTATGTTGCTTGGACTCCTCAGAAATGATGTCGGGTGCGTGTCTGATCCTCCAAAAGTAGTGTATTTTTTAAGGATCTGACACGGGTGTAGAAGCATTTTTCGGAGAGTCTGAGCAACATAGGCTACAAGATCATATATGTTTTGCATTACTCTAAAACTCTCTAAAAAAGATAACATGAAACATCAAGATAGTGACTTTCTTCTTTGACAACCAAGTAATCCCTGTTAACGAAAAAATATGATAAGAAAATCAAAACATTATATACAACAACTCACTTCCCCGTATCAATGGCTTACACAAAAACTACTCATGGAGTCGAACTCGAATCAAGTATATAACCAACCGTCAAGGGCAGAGTCAAGTGAGAGCAAGGAGGTTCGATGGGAAATTACACTATATATACAATGTTAAGATTGTTTTTATTAATTAACATTAAATTTGAAGTATATATTGAAATACTTCTTCAAATTTTGAAGTCATTAATGAAATTTCTGACTCCGCCACTGCCAATAGAATCTAGCATTCTCGACATAGAAAAATGCTAAATTTTTATACATACATTAAATTTGGAACCCATTAATTTCAAAAGTACTAACAGTTTCAATCATAAGAACATGAACTCATCAAATTCAAATCTTAATAACACAAACAACATTGCATGAACTTAAATATTAATCAATGCTAAACAGATGCAAATACTACTACAACAACAAAAACAACATATCCCCGTAAGTGGGGTCTGGAGAGCGTGATGTGTACAACGTACAACACCTACAAGATAGAAAAATTGTTTCTGATAGACCCCTACATGCAAATACATTGAAATAAAAAAGAAGAAAAAAACTTACAAATGGCCTCATGTTCTTTGAAACAAACAAGAAAAATCAACTTGCTGCCTTTGCCTTTTTTTCATGGATTCAACATTTTCTTAATAAAAAAGAAAGCATTTTTTTTTAGAAAGCAAATTTTAAAAAAAAGGGTATTTTTCAAGATTCAACCTTTTTTCAAAATTTGAGAAGAAAAAAGAAGAATTGTTAGAGAAAACAATAAGATGGGGAAATTGTAGGGAAAAGAAACTGAGTCAATTTTTTCAATGATGCCTATAGTGGGGGGATGTTGTGGAAGATATTACGCGGTTTTCAACTACCATTATTTACACACAAAAATAATATGAGAATTAATAAATAAAATATATTTCATGTATTATGTTATTAACATATTTTATTTTGATATTATAAAAACTATGTCAAAGGAAAAAAGTCAATATATTTTTTAAAAGGGAGAATTGTACATAATGGCAAACTATTAATTCAAATTAAATGGTATAACCACACTTTGATTTAATTGTGCCCTGTAGCAAACTGTTTGCCGGTCGCCTCTCTCCCTCAAACTCTCGCTCGCCACTCTGCCTCTCTCGCTCGCTCTCTCTGTCGCTCGCCTCTCTCACTTTGAACAAACAGAAATGTATAAATTGTGTTTCTGTTTGTATAAAGCCAGAGAAAATTGTATATACACATGCAAATACATATATTTTCGTCTTATAAACTTATAATTATACAATACAAATATTCCTCTGTCCAGTTTGCTTTTCTCTCTTTCTCGCTTTATACAAACACAATTATACAAAATACAATGTATAATTTATGTTTGTATAAAGCGAGAGAGAGAACGATATTTGATATACAAACGTTTTATTTCGATTCAACTGTATACAAATTCAAATTTTATACAGATATACAAACACATAAAATTAAATTGAGAGACTCTCAACGATTTATACAAACGAGAGGCTGACAACAATTTATACAAATGGCCTGCCAGCGAAATTATACAAATCTGAAGAGGAGCCAGCGAATTATACAATTGCTTCTTTTGTATATATGTATAGCGAAATAGCCTAGTCATAGCATGTTTGCTATGAAGCGCAATTATGCAAACTTTGTTATAACATACAAATATGAATTTTGTGTTTGCTATATGTGAAAGTTGTTCTTTTTAAAATTGACTAGTAAATAAATAAAGGGAAAATGGATAAATATACCCCGAAGTATCGTAAATGGTATGCAAATATCATCCATTATACTTTTGGGACATTGGTGCCCCTGCCGTCCAAAAACTAGAGCATATATGCCCTTCACTCTAACGGAAGACTAAAAAGGGACACGTGGCACAATCTTATCCGTCGATAAATGTTGGATTGGTGGATAAGATTATGACACATATATGTCCGTTATTATAAAAGATATATATGCTCTAGTTTTTGGACGGCAGAGGCACCAATATCCCAAAGGGAAAAAGGATAAATATATCCCGAACTATCGTAAATGGTATGTAGATACCCTCTGTCATACTTTTGGCACATTGATGTCCCTTCCGTCTAAAAACTAGAGCATATATGCCCTTCACTCTAACGGAAGACTAAATAGGGACACGTGACACAATCTTATTCGTCAATCAAGAGCATATATGCTCTAGTTTTTGGACGGCAGGAGCATCAATATCCCAAAAATATGACGGAGGGTATATGCATACCATTTAGGATAGTTCGAGGTATATTTTTCCGTAAATAAAAAGAAGGAATGAATGGGATTTAAATTAGTTGGGAAAAAGAAGATTTTAGTTGTGATGTGTAAATGTGGACGCTTGTTCAAACGCCTCCTCTTCCATCTCCTCCATGTGGTGTGCAAAATCCTTATTCATCATATCGTCGCCGTCGCATCTCAATCGCGTTTGGCCATTCTACTGGTAATAGTAAGAGTATCAAATCCATTCCGCGTTGTAATTACAACGATTCTATACAATCATTTTGCAAAAAAGGACAACTCAAAGAAGCCCTTCAACTCCTCTCTCAAGAACCCAATCCCACTCAACATACCTACGAGCTGCTCATCCTCTCCTGCTCTGAAAAACACTCATTCTATGATGCTTTAACTGTTCACCGTAAACTTATTGATGATGGGTTCGAACAAGATTCATTTTTGGCTACTAAACTCATTAATATGTTCTCTAATTTCGACTCTATTGACCATGCCCGCCAAGTGTTTGATAAAATTTACAACCGAACTATATTCATTTGGAATGCCTTTTTCAGGGCATTGACATTAGCTGGACATGGTGTGGAGGTTTTGGACTTGTACAGACATATGAATGCCATTGGAATAATCCCATCTGATAGGTTCACTTATACATATGTCCTCAAGGCTTGTGTTGTTGCCTCTATACCAAAACATAAGGAAATTCACGCCCACATATTCAGACATGGTTATCACACTCATATACATATTATGACTACCTTAATTGATGTATATGCTAGGTTTGGTTCCGTACAGAATGCAACTTGTGTCTTCTCTCAAATGCCACAGAAAAATATGGTTTCTTGGAGCGCAATGATTGCTTGTTATGCAAAGAATGGAAAACCTCTTGAAGCATTCGACGTTTTTCGTGATATGATGACCCATGTTTTGTTACCAAACTCGGTGACAATGGTTAGTGTTGTTCAAGCTTGTGCAGCACTGGGTGCACTAGAGCAAGGGAAGCTATTACATGGATATATAATAAGAAATGGGCTTGACTCTATTTTGCCTGTTCTCAGTGCCCTTGTGACAATGTATGCAAGATGTGGTGCTTTAGAATTGGGACGAAGAGTGTTTGATCAGATGGGAAAGCGGGATGTTGTTGCATGGAATTCCATGATTTCAAGCTATGGAATACATGGATTTGGGGCCAAAGCAATTGAAACTTTTAGAGAAATGATTCGACATGGAGTGTCACCAAGTCCAATATCATTTGTTAGTGTATTGGGAGCTTGTAGTCATGCAGGGCTTGTTGAGGAGGGGAAACAATTATTTGATTCAATGTGGAAAGAACATAAAATCTACCCTAGTGTGGAACACTACGCTTGTATGGTTGATCTTCTTGGAAGAGCCAATCAGTTGGAAGAAGCAGCTATAATCATTCAAGATATGCGGATTGAACCAGGACCCAAAGTTTGGGGTTCTCTTCTTGGATCATGTAGGATTCATTGTAATGTTGAACTTGCAGAGAGGGCAAGTAGAAGGTTATTCGAGCTTGAACCCACAAATGCTGGGAACTACGTACTTTTGGCTGATATTTATGCAGAAGCTAAGATGTGGGATGAGGTTAAACAAGTAAGGAAACTTTTGGAGGCCAAGGGATTGCGGAAAGTGTCTGGTTGCAGCATGATTGAAGTAAAGAGGAAAATCTACTCTCTCCAGTCAGTTGATGAAATTAACATCCAAATTGAGCAAATTCATGCGTTGTTGCTAAAACTATCAATGGAGATGAAACAGAATGGGATGTATGTCCCAGATACCAGAATTGTGCTGTATGATCTTGAAG